TGCGGTGGGTGATAGAGTCACCGATCTCGCACCGGATGACGAAGGTGTCTTTGTGTGACGCGGGTCCCAGAGGCAGATCCTCGTTGGTGAAGATGATCGCCTCCGTCCACTGCTTCTTCGGCTGGGGGTGTGGGACACCTCCCCAATGTAAATGGATTGGGCCTATTTTTTCCTCTGGGTGGCCGAGTCCCACCCTGTATTGCCCCCATGATGAGGTTGATGTGGTTCCTCTTCGGGTGGGGCTCTTCAAAATCCTCCTCGTCATCGTTGAGTCTGCCGATCTCTCGCTTCTTCGTAGAGGGTTCGCCCCCCGGCTTGCCGGTGTTTACCCACGTGTTCTTGCGTGGGCCACCTTTAACAATCTGGGAGAGTTCCCCCTGGTGAATCAGCTTTTCGATGGCTCGCTTCAACGTGACGCAGTCGTCTGTGTTGTGGGAGGTGTTTCTGTGGTAATGACAGTAAGTACCGCTGTTGGTCCCGGTTGTACTGGATACAGTCTAGAGGGGGGGGGTGAATAGACTGTATTGGTTTTTAACTTTTTCAAGCTAAGTACCAGATTTAACAGAATAGCCTGTTCTGTTGGTAGAACAGACTGGCAGCGGATGGGGTTCTGGTAGGGAGTTCTGTTAGTAGCCTCAGAGAAGCGAAGACAGTAGGCCTTCTGTTAACTCACAAGACAAGTTCTGCTGAACACAGATACCAAGTCTTTGGAGTTAAACAGTTCAAATAAAAACAATGAATGTAATGCAGTAAGTAAATGACACCAGGGCTTTTTATAGTGGTTGATGCACACTAATTAGTAGTGCATAATTGTATGTTTTTGTGTTTCATTGATGGTGATTGTTTGACGTTTTATTTAGTTTGTAAACATTTATGTGATTTCAGTTGTAATTGTATTTTAGTCTTTATTTGTCAGTTGTAAAGTTTAGTTAGGATTTGTGGTGTTGGAAAGGAAGACTTTGAAGAGAAGAAAAAGAAGATTTGGCTGCCCAGGAGCAAATACCCGACCGGGTATAACACTTGACCCGGTCGGGTAAGACGTGAAAAACGAAAATGCAAAGAAAGTGCATGGCCCGGTCGGGCCCACTACCTCACCGGTCGGGTGAGAAGTGACCGGGGACAACCCGGTGTGCAAAGATCGCCCGAACGTGAAGAATATCCAATTTTTGCACTCACCCGGTCGGGTCCCCTACCCCACCCGGTCGGGTCTGACTTGACCCGGACACTTTAACATGCCGAAGATCACCAGAACGTGGGGAAATGTCTGATTTTGACCGGACCCGGTCGGGTGAGTACTTGACCCGGTCGGGTACCCGGCCAAAGGTGTTGAAAAACACCTATAAATAGCACACTTTTTCTTCACAAAAAATCATCCTTTCTTCCATACTCTTTAGCTCAGTTTAGAATAGCATTTCTTTATATTTTTCTAGCTATGTTTAGTCTCCAAATGAGGAGCTAAACTTCCATTCTTGGTGTTGCTCTTGAAGCTTGTTGATTATTAAAGTTGTGAGTTATTTTCTTAAACTTCTTTCTTTGAATATTAATTAATAGTTCTTCCCTTAATACCATCTCTATATTAATGTTGGGGAGTGTTGCTAAGATGACAAATAGTTAACATCTCGACATTAGTTAGAATGGTATTTTCTTCCTCTATATTAATGTTGGGGAGTGTTGCTAAGATGACAATTAGTTAACATCTTGATATTAATTATAGTAGGATTCATTTTCTTTAATAATATTCTTCCTTGAATATTAATTAATCCCTACTCATATTTCATATTAATATTTTGAACATTACTTAAAGGATCAACTAGTTTTGTTTCATATATTAGTTATTACTAGAAACGATCAACGAACCGATGGTTAATCATTGATGGTTTCACAAGTAAGTAACTTCGGTTTATTAATGCACGGTCGTGGTTAATAAACTTAAGAGGGATTAATTTTGTTGGTTAAACCGAAACCGCTTGTGTTGAGGTTATCAATCTCAATTGATTTCATCAAGGAGTTAGAAAGATTAAATGCTACTATTAAATCGGTATAAGGCGTTGTTCTATATTTGATTAATAGTAAGGGTTATTAATGAACGGTCGTTGTTAATAACTACCCTCGATGAAGTGGATATACTCCCCGATTGAGTATTCGAGAGGGAATAAGTTATAGATATGACAAATGATCGACTAAAATATATCAACAAGTGGAAAGTAGCAATGCCAAGTCCCTTTTATTCTTGAATTAAACACATATAGGTTGTTCATCTTAGTTTCTTAATTAAATTAAATCACTCAAAACCAAAACCCCCCTTTTTAATTACTAGTTTCATAAAAAGAGAATCATTCCTTTCCCTGTGGATACGAACTCTACTACGCTATACTACGTATAAGTGTTAGTATTGAAAATTATTTTGACGCACCGTGACAAAGTGCTCGTCAGTGGTTCATGGAACAACTTGTTCCTCTAGTCCACTGTTCCACTAAGCTTGTAAAAACTTCCGTTTACAATGCCTTAGCCCTATCACTTAAGAAGCTCTCCACGTCTTCTTCAAGTGTAGATGTCTTCTTGGATGCACTTCCGGCTTCCCTAAGACTGGTCCTTTCACTGAGCTTTTCAGAAGTATCACCACTTCACTGCTCCAGGTACTTGGACGTCCTTCTTGTGAAAGAAGAGGTTCTATTTAGAACATAGGTTCCTCCAACTTGCTTCGTTACAAAGGATTTGTATATGATGAGCTTGAAGAGTTGAAGAACACTTGCAACTTTGCTTGAGTTGGAAATAAGGATTTTTCCAACTTCTGCCTTCTCTTGTAGAGGATGATGAAGTTTCAATCTCAAGGAGGCTTTTTGCGTTTTTAGCGTTTGAATATCTTGTATGCAGAGTTGTAGCAAAAGTTAGCAAAGTTATCCGGTTATTCTTCGTAGTGTATCTTTTATACTGAGGTTGTCTTCCCGTTGGAGGAGAAGGAGGACAACTGCATTAAATGAGCGAGCAGTTGACTTGACCAGTAGGACCCGGTAAAGTTGTCGGGTTACTATTTTGGGATAAAGTAATCCTAACATTGCGGCCAATCATCTGTAATTACTCTACGGAGTATGGAAGGCATTAAATGTGCATTTAATGCGCGCACTGTAGCTTTTCCGTTCAAGACTCCTAGCCGTTGAAGGAATCTTTCAGTTGGTTTCCCGGCTTGGTGGAATTTTTCTAAGTGTCAGGCCTTCTGGTGTTTTTAACAGAGAGTTGATCAGAGAAGGTCTTGAGCACTTCTGTTGAAAAGATATCCAACAGAGAACCAGGAGGGTTTCTGTCAGAGTAAAGGCTAACAGAGACCCTGAGGTCTTCTGTTCTGGAGCAGAGACCAAAAGGTCCTCTGTTCAACCAACGCCTTATAAAGGGTCCTCTGTCAGGGGGTCTTCTGTCCTGGAGGCTTTCTGCTTGGGAGGCCTTCTGCTAGTCGATTATACTAAAGAATTTACAAATGAAAAATCTAATACATTAAGTCTAAAGAGGGGTACTCTAAAGTCCTAATTAATCTAGCATCATCAAAATCTAATTACAAATATTCCTTACAACCGCCTTGATGGACGGCGTAGATCTCCTTGGCAGACCGAGGATCTCGTTCGATGAGAGCGTGCTCTTCGGCGTAATCGAGGATGGAGTTGACCGGATGGGTGAGGGGAATCTTCGGCCTTTCCATCCTCGGTCGCCACATGCGGTCTTTGTTCTTTCCGCTACCCCCGCGGTGGCCTTGTCCTCCCTGACCTCGGTCCCCGGCCGATGAGGGCACGGCGGACGAGGGCGTGGCTGACGAAGACCCGGCCGATGAGGTCACCCGGCTCTTCCTGGTTTCTGGATCACGTTCTGAGTAGACTTCTTTCTGGCCGATGAGGGTCATCTGGCCGTCGAGGGTCCCACCAGGTGGTCGTGGTACCTTCTGTTCTTCCGAGTATGTGGGCCCTGGGGTCCAGGCCCATATACTCCATCACCTACAATTTGAAAGAAAAAGCCAAAGGCACCTATTGTACATCTTTCGAGAAGTCAATAGGGATCGAGGGCACCGGCTATAATACATTGGACTCAAGAATTCCTAAGTCCACACTTTGGAATCCAACATCACAGGAGGCTCCTATGCTAGGAACGGGCCAAGTTTGACTATCATTACTGTATCCTCTGACCATATCGAAGGCACCACAGTCAGCACGGAGGCTGCTGGTTGCAGACCCAATACAAAATTCTCTAAGTCCATGACTTAGAGCCCCCGGCATCACCATCCTTTGCTAAGGAAAACTTTTCCTAAGACTACTACAAGCCAAGGGCATATTCATGGCATCACTCAAATCCTGGCTAAGTCAATAACACCAGTTCCCCCTGGGGACATATGGTGGGACGTGTCAGTCGAGGGCCTAATGGCAAAGCACCACTCGAAAAAGTTTATAAGTCCTAAATCGTGAGCCGTCGGTCAGCTCGCGGCATTTGTGCGGACTAAGTGGAGACATGAGCCGAGGGCCCATCAGTGAACATTACTTAGAAAATTTTCTATGTCCTAAACTATTGGCCCCCGACCATCAATGGAGGAGGGCTTACAACTCATTCACACAACATAAATTACATAAAGGAAGGTTTCAACCAAGGGCCAAGTGGTACTCAACACTTACAAAAATCTTCTAAGTCCTAATTGATTGGCCCTCGGCCAACTCACCATACAAACATACGTAGACGAAGGAAAATAGGCATAAAGGAAACGAAGGCATTCATACATCAAAAGAGACGAATTCAACATTAAAGGCCCGAAGGCACCCATTCATCCATTCACAAAAAATAAAAGTAAATTGTTTACAAGGGCCGAAGCCGGAGCTGAAAATGTCATTACAAAGCATTGTTCAGAAAATTTCTTAAATACAAGTGGCAGTGTCTTCCTCTGCAGCATTCGAGGTGGCGCCACCTTCAGCCTCATCTTCATCCCCGAGGCCGCATTCCCTCATTGTCTCTGAATCCTCCAGCATGGGCCTCTCTTCGCCTGAGGGAGGGGAATCCTGACGTCTGGTTGCCGAGGGGGGAGGCCACAAGCTTCGGGCCGGAACTCCTCCGGCCAAATGTTGAAATGTAGAGCCAGCTTCCGGTAGATGAGGCGTTGGGTGAAGAACTCTCTGCCCTGGTAGTAGGAATCACCTTTCGCAGCCAGCCACATTCTACCAGGGCCTTCGCCCCAGGAGTCAACCTTCTCCTCCACCGCCGAGGACACCCAGCCTTCCTTGTACTCTGCCCTCCAGCCCCCGGCGGTGAAAGCCTCCACTGCGGCCTTCTCAGCTTTGGCCACCTCCTCGGCCTTCGACCTCTCGGCCTCCTCAGCAGCAACCCGTGCGGCTTCAGCAGCAGCCTCCCCAGCCTCGGCTAGGCCTTCATTCTTGCCTTCGGCCCTGGCAGCCTGGACCCTCTGCTCCACGCCTTCGTTTGTCAACCGAAGGGTATCCTCAGCCTCGACCAGCTTTCTCCTGAGGCTGGCTATCTCCCCGTCTCCAGCAACCTTGGCTTCCCGTAGCTGACCAACCCTCCAGAGCTGCTCACAAAGTCCCATGAGAGCCTGCAACGATAAAGACGTAAAGGGTCAATCACATTGCATACGTTGCAACCCCACAAAAACAAATAAATGAAAAAAGGAAGTAACTTACGGAGGCGCTATTCTGGAGGACCTTTTGGTTGAGGGCCTCATCACCCATCCGGGCGAGGGCCAGCCTATCAGCCGAAGGCATGACCTGGCTCATTAACGCTGAGGGACAAAGGGTGGCATCCAACACAGAGCTCCCCTTCGGCACGATTGCCTCCAGCTTCTCCCGGCCGAAGAAGGCTTCATTGTCGTGCCTCCGGGACGATGGGGGGGGGGGGGGGCAGCAGCATCATCCACAACGATGACGGCGTCGGTGGCAGGTTGTTTGCCGGAGTCAACCTTCTGCTTCTTGGTCGGGGGCTCAACCCCCTTATCACCTTTCTTCTTCTTCACAGCACCCTGTCCCTGGGAGCTCCCGGCCCCAGCACCAGCGACATCAACTGTAGAGGGCTCCTCCCTCCCCTTTTGAAAGAAAGTATCGACCGGTTTGTGCCCCAAGGGATCCTTCTTCTTCCCTTTTTGTTTCTTCAGGGCAAAAAGAGAGTTGACATCCATATTGTTACCTGCAAGAACACAAGACAAATGGTTAAGCCGAAGGGGATCAACTACAGCGACATGGATAAGCTACGGAAAAATGTTTCTAAGTACAAAACATATGACCCTTCGGTAATGACCTCGGACACTCTCAAACACACGATCTATCAGGGGATATCTTTCATCTTCCTCCCCCATCGGCCGGTACTGCCGGAAGCCAAGCTTGTATAACTCGTCCGGAAGGGTAGCGCCTTTGATCAATGCATGTTTGTCGGACCCCTCCGGCTTCTTGGACAGCTTCCTCCCATTCTTCTCGAGGATAGACCCTGATGGATTATGTACCCGGGGGGTAGCTTATCTGAGGGGTTATTACAAGGATTAATAAGAGAGAAGTCAGAGCGAGTAAGTATAGAGAGAGAGAGTATATTGTAAAGTGTGGAGCGTTTTTCAGCGTGTTCTTACTTGGTTACAAATGGGGAAATGGGGTGCTATTTATAGTAGCAATAAATGCCGGACAGGGACACGTGTCAAGCGTCCATTGGCCGAGAGGTCACCTCAACTGGTTGGCGCTGGCAACCGCATGTGGCCGCATTTAATGAGGCTGTTGGATGGGACGTTGTACAGGGTACGGTGATCTGTACACATGTGGCACGGATATCATGTCGGGTAAGGTGCCCTCGGCTGTAGAGGACTAGCCGAGGGCTCTGAGTACTGGGGACCCCCTTGGTGCTGAGGGCTCCAGGTGCCGAGGGCTACTGATTTTCGCCGTTTTTCCCAGTAACTTTGTTTTGCTGTATTGGCCCTCCTGGGAGAGTTAGAGCCTTCGGCCAAGGGGCTGAAGGCACCCCTGGTGCGCATTTGTGGGCTGCTTGGTACTCTAGGCGCTGTGATTTGGGCCTGTTGTGCTTCCTGGGCCGGTTGGGCCTTTATTGGTGTAGTAGGAGTCTGTGGGCTGGGGGTTCCCGGGCCATATACTCCATCAGGAGTCCCTCACTCCTTTTGCCGAAAGGTACTTGAGGGAAAAGGAGTAATTCGTGCTTGCCCTTTGATGTTGTCCCGTTGTAATCTCTGAAGTTGGTGAGGAGTTGTTGCTTGCATGTCCCTGCCGAAGGCAGTCCCTCAGTTACCCACATGTCGGGACTTGAGGGATTGCTTTGCCGTTTGTTGGAATTTTTTCACCATTTTGTAATTTAATGATTTCCCGAAGGGGTTCTCCAGTCCCCCACTCCTTGAGGCACTTGTAAAGTGGTGAAAAGGAGTAGAGTTTTAGTCCGTTGTAGCATGGGGCCGAAGGCTGACGCTTTTCGTTTCATTTTGGGGGGATGCCTCGTTAAAAAACCTCATTAGGAAAAACCCTGTGGGAAAAAATCCTAATGAGGGAAAAAGAGTGCACCGAGTTCCCCAACGATGAATCGAAAATGTGAAACCTTGGTTCAAAATGGAGAATAATGGTAATGCCGAAGGCTCTCCTTGTTCTGAGGGCTCATGTGTGGAATAGCCGGAGGCTTGTTGTTGATGTCCTGGGAGGTGCCGAAGGGGAGTCCCTCAATCTGGGGATCGAGGGCGTAATGAATGCAGGTAGCACTCGAGTTGTTACCGGGGGGTTCCCTGTGTTGTTGATTGGTTGGTGATGAGGATCTCCGAGGGGTCCTGTTACCTGTGTGCCGTAGGTGATCCGTCAATGAGGCATACTCCCCGGGGGCTACCCGGCTCTCAAAGTGCTGAGGGGGGATCCCTGAGGGGTGCCTGATATGAAGCCTTGGGCTTCTGAAGGTTTGATCCCGAAGGCATGTGTTATGTACTGTGTGGGGCACAACCCAGGAGCGTCTCAGGGTAAGTGTACTCGGAGGCTCTCCTTGATGAAGTGGAGTGAAGTAAAAAGCCCGGGGGCTTCCAGAATATAGCCGTTGGAAATATAGCCATTGGAATATGTAACGTCAGGATATAGCCGTTCGGGGGGGGTTGCCACGTGGTGCGTGCTCATTGGCTGCCCGTGGGCGGGCGTCACCGATTGGGTGGAACCTCGGTTGGTAATGATGGCAGTCCAACCGGAGGCCCGGTTTCCAGGCCCAAGCCCGGATCCCAGCGCCTATAAATACCCCATGGCTGGCTTCCTTCCCCTTGTGCGAAATCATTCTAGCGAAGCTTTGCCAAAATTTGTAGAGAGAGAAACAGCAGCCCTCGATCAATCCCTGCCTTAAGGTCAGTTCCCCCCTGCTCTTCTCGTTGTAGTTAGCTGTGCCTTGTGCCCTTAGGCTAGGAGATAGAATTTTTTAGAAAACCCTAGTTATTCCGAGCCCTCGAGCTAGTGAGTAGATGTCTTCTCAGAGCGATTCTCAGGACATATCGAGGGATCTCTCGGTGGAAGAGGAGAGCTTCTCAGACGCAGGGTCTTCAAGTGAGCAGCCCTCGGCTCAAGAGGACGTCGCGATGGCGATGGAGGTGCAGAAAGACCTGGTGGCTGAAGTCGAAGCCGAGGGCTTCGAGCAGGAGGAGGAGGACGAGGAGCTTGCCTTCGCCGTGCAAGTTGCGTAGGAGGAAGAAGAAAAAGAGAGTATGAAGGTGACAGTGGCCGTCCTCCCCCCTCGGGGTGCTAGTGAAGTAGGGAGCTCTCGGCCCCTCAACCCGACGCCGATAAGAGTGGCCCCCGGGAACCAATCGGGGAAGAAGAAAACTGCCCCCAAGAAGAAGAGTGTCGCTGCTGATCAGGGGAAGCCCGTAGATGTGCCCGAGGGGTACTCCTGGCTAAACACTGCTGCCCTGGAGATAGGGTCGAAGGCCGATAGGGAAGACATGTACGTGACCCAGCTGCACGTGGGGCCTTCGGTTGTGGTGGTGGCACCGAGCCCCGATGACGTTCTTTCCCGGGCCCCCAAGGGGTGAATTGCTGTGCACATCCTGTCGGTGTCAATGGGGCTCCGGTTCCCCCTGCACCCATTCCTTCGGGAATATCTCCGGTATGTGGGCTTGGTCCCCTGCCAGCTGACGCCCAACAGCCACTCCTACGTGGCGGGCTTTCTGAACCTCTGCCGGGCCCGAGGGGTGACCCCCAGCCTGGATCTGTTTTCCGGAGCTTCAACCTCTGCCGAGGGGGTCACGCGAACGCCAAGGGGTTCGCCAATCTGCAACAGGTGGCTCGGTGGAAGTTATTCACGGAAGCGCCCTCGTTCAACAAAGGCTGGAAGGAGAGGTGGTGCTACGTCAGGATTGCCGAGAGCCCTTTCCCGATGGAACTTAGGGATCGCTTCCGTAGGCATCCGAAAGTCGGAAGTGCTGCTTTGGAGAAGGATGGCTCGATAATAGCCAAGATTCCGGCGGGCCGCACGAAGCAAGTGTCCATCAAGGATTTTACTGCTGACAAGGAGCTGTTTGCCCTCGGCTTCCGCAGATATCGCTTCCTTGGCGAAACAGACGAGAAGTATCCTGTGCTGACAGGAGGTAGTCTCCGAGGGCTTCCCCTCTTTTTTTTGTACTTAGGATTTTCCCCTTTTCCTTTCTTTCGCTCTTTTCTCCTTCGGTCTGACCCTTTTGTTTTTTGTTTGCAGGAGTTAACATGGATGCCGGCAAACTCTTCGCCCTGAAGAAGAAGAAGGGCAAGCCCCAGGCCCTAAAGAAGGACCCTTCGGTCCAACCGCCCGTGGGAGCCTTCTTCCAAAAAGAGGTCCCGGAGCCCTCTGCTGCGGAGGGGGTCGTTGGTGTGGCGTAGGGGGCCACGAAGAAGAAGAAGAAGGGGGGCAAGGTGGTTGAGCCCCCGACCAAGAAGCAGCGGGGCACAGGGGGCACTGTCGCCCAGGATGCCCCCTTGGTGATCATCGAGGATCGCCCCTCTCCGGACCCCCGGTTTATACTGCGGTGATGGCCCAATCCAATCCTCCCTTGAGAAGCCCCCCTCGGGAGATCCTGCAGCTCTCTCTGGCCCCGGGGGCTTCTGTTCTACACGGCTCGGCGTAGTGATGGTTTCGGGCCGGGTCGGGCCCGGGCCGGGCTGCCGGTTCAAGAACAGTGGGCCCGGGACCGGCCCGAGGGTTGGACGGGTCCGGTTCGGGCCGGGCCACCCGCCCGGGTCACGGGTCGGGTCCGGTTCAGGCCGGGCCGGTTATTTTTTTTTTATATAATTTATATTTTATATTTTATAGTTTATAGTTTGATACGAGTATTAAAAACAAACTTCAATTGCATTTATTTGAAATGAAATAGGAACTACATTTGAAAATTAAAACAAACTTTAAGAGATAAACATTTTGAAAATTGTAATCAATCGGAACTTCCCGCACCTCCCGATCCTTTGGCTTTGTCACATGACTTCATATGCTTGATTGCCATCCCGAATCCGCCTGAAGCCCCCATAATACATTATTTTTCGCACCATTTACAAATTGCGTACCACATCCCGGTCTTCGGGTCCTTCTGCTTATCAAAATTATACCGTATAATGGCATTTTGATTTTCCATCTTAACTTCTTGGAGAAGAGAATTAGAGAGTAGATATATAATATATTGGAGAATAAGAGAATTAGAGAGTAGAGAGTTAAGAATAGGATTTAGGAAGAATTGGAGAAGAGATATGAAAAAATGTTTAAGAGTAGGAGAATTTATAGGTTTTTTTACCCCCCACCCCCCCCCCACCCCCACCCCCTACCAGCCAACCCCCCCGGACCCCCCCCTTTACCCCACCCAACGGCTATATAGCCGTTTGGGTTGTCCCCAGCCCCACCCCCAAGGCCTCAACGGCTAGTAGCCAAAAATAAAAACAAAAAGTTTTTTTTTAAATAGACCTGGACCCGGGCCCGACCCGGCCGGGCCGGGTCACAAAAATGATGAACCGAGCCC